GGCAAAATCATCACCATTGGGTACATTAGGTATGACAGTGACACTCTTGTTTCTATTGGTATACAATGTACTCACAATTCGAAGTTTTTAACTCCGGATCCGAGCTGGCCGAGTGAGATCTTGAGGGAGAACAAAGGGAAGCGGCGGCGGCCTAGAGGGAAGCGAGCCGGCGTCAGGAACAGGCTGAGAGCTCGTGCACACCGCACACCTCTGCCTAGCATCCTGCTCGCCAACGTCCAGTCACTGGAGAACAAGCTTGATGACCTCAGGGCCAGGATAAAGTTCCAGAGAGACATTCGGGACTGCAATCTCCTCTGCTTCACCGAGACATGGCTGAACCCAGCGGTGCCGGACCACGCCATCCAGCCGGCCGAGTTCTTCTCGGTTCACCGCATGGACAGGACACGGGACTCGGGGAAGTCAAGGGGAGGCGGCGTGTGTTTAATGGTGAACAACAACTGGTGCAACAGTGCGAACGTTGTTCCTCTCACACGCTCCCTGCATATCCATAGATACAGTAAGTCACCCACTTTTACAAAAATTGGCTGTTACTCTTATGCAATGAGACCGATGAAGGCGATTAGTTGAAGCAGAAAAAAGTCTTGGAAGAAATGGGTAGTCTATTCAAGACAATTTTACACTGTAGAGAAGAATTTGACTCAACTGTTAATATGGTTTAAAAAAAGCCCATGTACAGCCCAAAATGCCTGTTATAATTCATTGTCCCTGCCAGTAACATAATAAGGTCATCTGTGCTGTGTAACTGTTGATTGACCCACATCTCTACAAGTCCTGTGTTGTTTTACATCATAGACTGCATGCTCTAACAAGTGATTCATTCAGTTAATTACAGTCAAGGCAGACTTTTTGACACAGAAGTCTGGCTGCTCCTATGTACTTGCCATTAGCCACAAAGCCAACAAGTAACAACCGTAGTATTTCTTTTTAAGTCCACTCTGTGTTAAAGTGTTGTAGCAGGATGTCACAGGATGATGAATACAGTTACACAAGTTAAAATAAGTTGTGGTTTCTTTTTGGTCAGCTCACTCAGTACAATACATGAGTGTGTTCTTACAGGACCAAGCTGATGTAAACACTACAAAGAAGAACAATGAAATCTGGGCATGCATGAAAGGCTCAACCTCTCCCAAAGTGTATATGGCAAATTGTTTCCTCGCAAAGTGGGAGCATCCCCTTTGCTCTCCTTATCATTCATGTTGTTTTTGGACCTAGACAATATGGAGCAAGTAGAGCTAGCTAACATTAATCCTATGGATGAAACATTGACTTTTCAGCTACAAACCCGATGTGCTCAGTAAGCAATTCTAGTTGGCACGTCTGGAGGACCACCAATTTTTTCCCCTGGATGTCTATTCCAGCGGTAAAACCCGCAGAAAATTCATGGCCAAAATAGTAGTAGTAGTAGAGTCACCTGTGGTTCTTCAAAGTCACTAAAATCAGCTTTGTGTAGATTAGTTCCACCATATCTACATGTCTAAATGCACTAAGTTGCCGGGTGATTGGCTGATTAGATATGAAGCCAAACAAAGGTCAAAGGTTTCTTGTTTTCCACTCTTTAAATCATTTCAGGTTGTCATTTGGCTGTAATAGGATAGGCTCATTACTCATTCATGAAATCTTTGATGCAAAAACCACCGCACAAAAGAATATAGTGTAAAACAATGGTTATTCAGTGAGTCCTGCATCAGTTTTGCCAGTGCAAAATCATATGCATTCTTTGTATTGACCAAACATGGAAAGGGCACTTTTTTGTTGTTGTTAGTGGGCTTACCCACACACAGTCATGAAAGGTTATTGCCTAGACATCCAAGCAGGACTTAAAGCCAGTAATGGTATAAATAACTTCTGATCAAAGCCGTGTCATCTCAGGCTATAATGCTAAGTCCCAGATAAGGAATAACATCTAAATAACATCTAACACTGACCTGAGGTTCTCCAGGTTAGTGCAGCCCAGTCCGGTGGAGAGCACAGAGAGTAATGAGTCTCTCAGTATGTTGTCACTCAACTCCAGTTCTTTTAAATTTGAGATGATTGATTTGATGGCTGAAGCTAGATTTTCACTCTGTGTTTCTGAAAGCCCGTGACCAGAAAGACTGCAAATATAAAGGATAATAGGTGAAAAGTGACTGATGAACACAGTCATGGGAAAAAAGTTTTCACACAGTTCTATAAAAACAAAATACTCAATAGCTTTTAGAACTACATTAAACAGCAATAATTCAAAGTAATTGTTTTGTAATGTTAAGTAATGAGTTCATCAAATCATTGTGGAGGAATTTTGGCCCACTCTTCTTTACATTATTACTTTTGTACATTTGTACATTAAGCACAAGGCTCCACACACAAGCCTTGTGCTTTGCGCTGGGAAGAGGGGGGAGGGGCGGTAGTTACACTCGCAGTAGCACAGGAACAGAGCAGGAGGGAGAGACAGAGAAAGAGAGCCAGGGAGAACAACATCCCATTAGAAAGGTATAGTGATCATCCACAACTATTTTCAGTTGCAGATGATAAAGGATTCAGAAAGTTTATTCACGCAGGCCGAAATGACAGAGATGTGCATCTTCTTTTTGTTTTCATATTTTAATTTATATTTAATTGTGCTGTGGTCCTTTTTGTTGCTTCACTTTAAATTTATTTAAAAAGGAAAAAGCTGAAAATTTAAATAGTTAAAAGTTGAAATGTGAATAGTTGGTTTTTGTATTATATGATTTATTTATTACATTTTATGTGGAGTGAATAAATAAAAGTATATTTACCGTGGCCCCTAGAGACAAAGCACACACGAACTCCAAAACACGTGCAAACTCCGAAGCACATACAAACTCCAAAACACATAAAAACTCCAAAACACGTAAAAAACTCCAAAACACGTAAAAACTCCAAAAAACGTACAAACTCCGAAGCACGTACAAAACCCCAGAAGTGCTCCAGGATGCTAGGCGCAGTGTTGAGGTTTTGTTGCCTAGTGGCTACACAAGCCAGGAAGTACCAACGACTGGATTTGGTGTGTGGTAGTAACAGGTAAATGAACATTTTTTTAAATTATTTGAATATATATGCGTGCTTGTGTATTAATACACAAACCATACACATATGCTTTCAATTGTGTAATTCAAGTGATCTAGGTATCTCAGTTAACACTAGAAATGTGTTTTGGAATTTGTACGTGCTTTTTGTAGTTTGTACGTGTTTTGTCTCTAGGGGCCAGCGCATATATTTATATATAAATATTAATTAATAATTAATAATAAATTAATAAATATTAATAATAAATTAATTAAAGCAACAAAACAACCTGAAGAGCCAGTTCAGAGCCGAAAGAGCCGGCTCTTTTTAGTGAGCCGAGCCGAAAGAGCCGGTTCTCTAAAAAGAGCCGGAAATCCCATCACTACTGTTCATGTGCTACTGTGAGTGTAACTACCGCCCCTCCCCCCTCTGCTCAGCGCAAGCACAAGGCTGGCGTGCAGAGTGAAGCAAAAAAAAGTGCGAGAGAGAGGGTGAGAGAGAGAAAACAAAAACCACGGCCCGCGACGTTCACTTCAAAGAGCCGTTTCTTTCGCGACAGACACATCACTACTGCTTATCAGTTCCAGTTGCACAGAATAGATAAGAGAATCGATAAAAAATTTAATCGGTAAGTGATGTCGATAATGAAATTGGAACTTCTTAATTCTTATCTATTCCCATCCCTATATGCAATGCCTGCAAAAAAAAATCACAAAATTATTATGAAATCACTTTCATTCAAATAAATGATAACAAAACATAACGAAAAATAATACTCTTACTAACCTAAGAGTTTTCAGTTTACACTGGCAATTCCCCAGTCCATCAATCAATATCTCTGCACCTTCGTCATCTCTGCTGTAAAATGTATTATTGACCAGGTGCAGTTCAGTCAGCACAGAACGTGGCATACGAAGAGCTGAAACGATAGTTTTATATTCCCAAACAGAAAGATCCAAGCCTGAAATTCTGAAGAGATGGAAAAAAAGATGGTTCTTCAGTATCTGATAACGTTTTAGAAGCATGCAAATGATTTACTTGACTGAAATCACTGCAATAGGAGTAATAGCACCCATAACACTTCACAGCATGACCTGAATAGGTTGGGTTTTTTCATTCTTTTTTTCTTTTCTTAGGTGTTTAATGTCACAGTGTGAGATTAATCAGTTAACAGGCAGAGTGCATGGATTCAAAGGTCTGGTCTGGCAGATATGTCACACTTGAGAGGTACATTAGGTTTAGTCCTACAGGCTGTATTTCTTTCTTTCATGTCCTCATATAGCTCTGATTGGTAGGTCAGTACTTTAACTTGGTCTGCTCATGCCTTGTACTAGTTTTTCTTCAGCTCCCAGAGCTCTAGCATCAGGTATTACGTCAGCTGGAGCCAGTGGCTCACACTAATAGGGCTTCTGTACTTGTGGAGCTTATACTGGAGTCTGTACTGTGGTGGGAGTCAGTCATTTGTTTACATTAGCAAGCTTCATTCCTTTGCTAGCTAGTGTTGCAAAACATTGCTGCTCTGAAGCCTCAAACACTCTATAGTAAAATGGGATGGTAATCTTGCGATGGAAAAACTCAATTGTTACTGAGCGACTGCACTGAATTCTTTGGGGTTTGCAAACTATTACAAGTAGCTGGAGCAACCAACTTGTTATCCAGTAAATTCAACCTCCCAGCAATGTGTTTCCAAACAATCACAGTCTGACTTTGACCAACTGCAGTCATTTTTAGACAGACAAGCTAAAGTTTGTAAATGTAAGAAGATGCATCAAGAAAGTTAGCATGCACCAATGAGTGCAACTCTTCTGCTTCACTATTATTTCTCGAAGTGAAGATTTTAACTCCTACGAAGGTGAATTACTGAGATTTGAGGTGAGCAATTTCCTGTAAATTGTGCTGGATTTAAGATGAAATGTGTGTCTTGTGTTTTTTGGAATGAGAGGGTGAAATGTTATCAGTACAATTGCGTAACTGGATGGCTCAAAGCTGTGAGCACAGTGCTAAAACTCAGGATGTGTTCTGTAACTCTTTATCCGAGTGCTTAGAGCCCGTGCCCACATATTCCTACAGTACAATAGTACTGGTGTTTTATTGAAACAAAGCCAAACTCAATATGGAGGATAAGAGGAAAGGAAGGAGAGATTCATGTCACAAGACATGTACAAGGTACCCATTTCTGCGTGTCTTTTCTCAGCAGTGCGTACACACAGTGGTTTCCATGTTTCTTTATAACACATTGATGTTGTTAATGATACCACAGGTCTGTCAAAAAGCAGCTCTTGATGGGGCTGTGTTAGTGTGCTAGACTAATGTGTTTAATGTTATAGTGTGCAATATTGACTTCAAGTACTTATGGTTGTACACAGGCACATTTACACATATGGAACAGTAGCTGCATCTTCATTAACACATATCTGTTGTTGTAACACATGTGTTCTTGTAAAAGTCTGTTGTTACTCACAGACTTCAGGTTCGTGTAATAAAATGGATTTTAACAAAACATATCTCTTCTGAATAAATCCTGCGCTCCACCTGAGTCTCAGTCCTCAGAACCATACAGCAGCAATTTCAGGAGAAGAATTTACCCTTACATCGAAACATTATAATTCTTCTTCAGTCTCCTTTCATTTATTTTATTATATTTATTTTAAATTTACTGCTTTATTGTATTATAGTTGTTAGGACTTTACTTAGTACCTTACATTAAAGCTTACTGATAAGCTTGCTTATCAAGTTGACTGTTCATAGGAGCACAAGAGGAGGAACAAAGCACTGCCCAAATATTGCAGTGCTCTCAAGTTGCTGAACTTAATAACATTCTTGTATAAAGAACCAACTCACCTTGCTTTCCTGCAGTTCCTCACAGCTGGAAGAAGTCTAAAGATACCTTTTCCTGATGGTCTGTATTTCTTGAGATTGAATTCATCCAGAGGTGTGTTTGACATCAGAATCAAGTCAGCCAGAGCTGAACACTCAACAGGAGAGAGCGGTGATTCAGGAAAACAATTTGGTTTCAGATACTTTCGTACTGAATCATGTAGGGAATTGTCTTTCAACTCAGTCAGGCAGTGGACAAGGTTTAGACATCTTTCAGCTGAGCAATCCAATAAATCTATATCTAAAAGACTTGACCGAATTTGCTCAATATTCGTTGAGTGTTCTTCAGTCTGTTGAATCAGACCTTGAAGCAGGTCTTGTGTTGATTGTAGAGACAAGCCAATAAGGAACCTGAGGAACATGTCCAGTTCTCCGGTCGTTCTAAGAGCCGAATTAGCTATTGTAATTTCAATCAGTTCATTCAAAGGTAGATCCACTGGATCACTTTCCAAGATAGTCTTGAGCTCTTCATCAGACCCTTTTAGCATGAAATCCTTGAGACTTTCAGAATCAATTTTCTTATTTACAAAACTGTGATATACAAAGAGAGCAGCAAAATACTCTTGAACTGTGAGATGCACAAAGCAGTAAAGTTTCTTTGTTAGGAACACACTCTCTTCTTTGAATATTGCTGTACACAACCCGCAGTAAACTCCAGCTTTCGTTATATCTATGTCATACTTCTTCAGATCTTCAGCAGTGAATATGATCCGGCCTTTTTCTAGTTGCTCAAAAGCCAGCCTGCCTAATTTCAAAATGAACTCTTCATTTGACTTAAAAAGCTCTGCTGTATCAGGCTTTTCCTGGTCTTCCTGGTTGCCATATTTTTCATTAGCTATCATCATCTGAATAAGAAGGAAGTGTGTGTACATCCCAGTAAGAGTTGTGGGTATTTTTTGGTTTTCATCTTTGGTGTTTCCCATTTTACGCATCAAATACTCAAAAACATCTACAGCAATCCAACAGAAGATAGGTATGTGACACATAATATACAGGCTCCGTGACATTGTTATGTGTTCAATTATTTTTTCAGCGACTGCTTTGTCCTCAACTCTCTTTCTGAAGTACTCTATTTTTTGTGGATCATCAAATCCTCTGACCTCGGTCCACTGGTCGACATACTTACTAGGGATGCGTTGAACTGCTCCTGGTCTTGAGGTAATCCAAACAAGTGCAGAGGGAAGAAGATGTTTCCTGATAAGGTTGGTCACCAGAGTGTCCACTGAGGACACCTTTGTAGCATCATCCAGTATTGTGGTCGTTTTGAATTTCAGCTGAAGTTGACTTTCATCGAGACCATCAAAGATGAACAAAACTTCACGATCAGCCAAAGCTTTCGCAACTGCTATGGTTTTAAGTTCTGGATGGAATGTTTTCACAAGGTTCTCAAAGCTAATCTGATCATCTTGGACCAAATTTAGCTCCCTGAATGGAAACATAAGGATGAAGTCCAAGTCCTGATTGGCTTTTCCATCTGCCCAGTCAAGGATGAACTTCTTCACAGAGACAGTTTTTCCAATGCCAGCGACCCCCTTTGTCATCACAGTCCTAATTGCTTTCACTTCTTTGTCATCTTTCTCATGTTTAAAGATGTCATTAGAGTTGATTTTTGTACACTCAACAGTTTGATTTCTCGCTTTATCTTCAATCTCCCAGATCTCATGTTGTTTATTGACATGTTCACTCTCTCCTTGTATAATGTGAAGCTCTGTGTAAATTTTATCCAATGATTTTTCATCCTTACGAGACTTCCCAGTGCCTTCCAACTCCCATTGACACTTCTGCCTCAGATATTCTTTGTTCTTTTTGATGACCTCCTTGATGACATCTTCTGCTGTAGGTAAAGAGGAAAACCACCAATTTCAAAATAAAGCATGTGTTTTCTATTGTCTTCTATTGTCTAAATAAAATGTGGATATGAGATTTAAAAACCATTGCATTTTGTGTTTATTTGCAGTTTACGCAAATTTGTAACATTATATTAATTGTATTTAATAATTGTACAGTGCACCCGAAAAGTATTCACAGCAGTTCTCGTGTTCCACATTTCGTCCTATTCCAAAATAGATACATTTTTTTTACTTTAAAATAAATTCTACACAGAGAAGGATACATAAAGTGAAAACTGTTTGGTTCACATTCACATGAATGTATTAGAAATTTGGAAAAAAAATTATTGTTTTTTAAGGTGAAAATTGACTTTAATCCATTTTGGATTAAGACTGTAACATGACAAAATGTCAAATGCTGTAAATGCTTTCCCTATGCACTGTAAACATAGTTACCAAACAACTGAAACATACTTTCACACGTCTGTGGCTCAATTTCTTTGAGGATTTTGTAGAAGGCAAATTTGACTTCTCTAGTAGTCAGTGAATTGTAGAGCTCCCTCATCTGATCCTGGCTAGTCCCGGCAGCTTTGATTTTGTTGTATATCTCCGGATGGATCATACCCCGCTGTCTCAATTCATCAGCTATAGCCATCACCAAAGTGACGCTTTGAATGAGCTTAGTGCGGTTCTTGTCCACCAAGGCTGCATCTATGAAAAGGTTAAAAAAAAATGTAAGACATGTTGTTTAGGACTTTAGAAGACAAAGAATGAAAGCATGTGCATTTTATGATCAGAGTTAATCATAAAATTATAATTATTAACTTACCTTTCATTTCTGTTACTGCTGAAGCAGACAGACAAGGACTAGAAAAAGGCAAAACTGCTTTAGCGATACATGGTTTATAAATCTACGCTAATGATTTATTTCATCTTTTACCTTAGAAATACTGATTGTATATTTACTTATAAGAAGATAATAAAGGTCTCACCTGAGGGCACTGAGTTCAACAGTATCATTGCTGTTCTCACTGCAGTCATTTTCCCCAGAAGTTTCTTGTGCATGTGTGCATGCAGGCTCCTCCCTTCTTTCCTTCACTGTGTTTCCCCCCCTCTGCTGTCCAACAGGAAGGAGTGAACTTTCTTCACTCTTCTCAGCAGTGGAAATGTTGTCTTGCTCACAACTGTTTTCTTTCGTTTTTGCACAGCAATGTGCAGACCATAGGCTCCCCATGATGTTATTTCTTCACAGTCAGCTCAGTGACTCTGTCATTTGCATCTAAATATGAGTATTATTACATAGAAGTTCTGTTGTATTGCTACTGTCTTGAGAACAGCCAGACTTTCTTTTCCCTTTTCACCTAATGCAGAATTTATCATAGATATTTATTTTGCTATATTCTTAATCGTCACTATGTAAAATATCTGACCGAACTACTCGCTGTTCAAAATATGTTTATTTTTTCTTACCTTTGTGTCTGATTTCCAGTAGCTGCTGCAGTAAAACAAAGATGTATGTTGCTGGATCTAAACGATAGCAAGACAGGAAGTGAACCGTTGGCAGGATGGGCGGAAATTGAATTCTCTCTCTCTCTCTCTCTCTCTCTCTCTCACTGTTTGTGAATACTGCAACAACAACAAAAAAGTACTGAAAACACTTTTTGATGGTTAGTGCTTTATGCTATTACACCATTACACTACAGATGCTCTGAAAATGATTTTTTATTAATCAACTGATATATTTCAAAATGCTTAACTTTGTACAGACATGACAAGAATAACACCAAGGCTGTTCTTTTTAGGAGGTTAGACTGTTAATTAGTAACTTGTTATGGTAAAGTGAAAGTATTCAGGACAGACTAGCGCCTGCTCTTTTTTTAGATAAATTTTATCAAAACTCTTAACTTTTGTACACAGAGAGGAAATGTGCAGCTAAATAAAAGCATTTAAACCATTTTCGCAGCTGCTTATCTAAGGTTTGCACAATATCAGTGTAGCTGTACCTCTTGCAAATCTTCTGTACATATACAAAAAAAACAAACTCATTCACAAAGTTTTTGCAACTTCCTAATGCAAAGTGCCAAATACTTACTTTGTATAAGTGTAGTCTCTCATTTTCAGCTGTTCAAAAAGAATCTTAGTCAGTTTTGCAATAAAACCAAATGTTATCCAAGGCAGACTACTTTATAGACTGCAATAAACGTTTATTATGACTTAGCTTTTTGTTAAAGAGAAGCAGTTTGTAGTGGGCGGGTAAATAACTGCATAACATGTGCTGTGGTGTGATTACTTTTAAATGGAGTGTAACTCTCTAATCCTGAAACCTGGGAGAAATGAATAATGTTTCCATTACTTTAAACAATGCTTTAACATGAGTGCTGCACACAGATCTTAAGCATAACCATAGATGATTTAAACATTCTGCACAGTTTCAAGGGGCAGACATCTCAAGGCACATAATTCCTCTTACTACTCTAACAAACGTTTGTGAAAGAATAGGTTGTTCTGAAACAGTCACTGAACTTTTCACAGACAACTCAGTTTGTAATATTTCTTCCCTCCTAGATATTCCACAATTAACTGTAAGCAGCGGAAGCATTTAGGAACCACAGCAACTTGGATAGCAAGCACAGACTACATAAAGTTACAGAGCAGGATTCCCAAGTGTTGAGACACATAATGTGTAAAAGACACAGACGATCTGCTGACTTGGTAACTGCAAAGCGCCAAAGCTCCTCTGGCATTAAAATCAGCACAAAAACCATCCACCTGGAGCATCCATGGCCGAGCAGCTCCTAAAGGTGTCCCAGTGCTTTTGTCCCTCAAGTGTGGGTATTCGGGGACAGTCTGCAAATGCAACACGGAAGAGAGAGAGACTACACAAATATTTGAAAACCTTGGTAACCAACATCCCTTGAGTTTGCTTTTGCTGTAGCAGAACTAGAGGAAAAATTCAATTGTCCAAGCTTCACACTCATGCAGAGGTCTCATTTTGTTGATACTGTAAGTTTTTGGTTGGGCAAAAAGAAAAAGAGCCTTACGTTTTTTGGTTTGTTTGTTTGTTTGATGTTTTTAAAATCGGGAAAGAAACATTGAATCCCTTCACGCTTAGTCTGCCATCACAGAAATCACTTCACACAAACCTGTGTATATTTGCATTTACTGAAAGTTTTCCTGAAACTCACTTCTTGAACACACCTTCCTTGTGATGTGTGCAGCTTTAGAGTAATCTAAATCCAAAGTATTCATGAAAGAAACCGAAGTATTAGTCATAAAGAATAAAACCCCACAAAGAGCACAATAACATTTTATTAACAACAATAACAATAATAATAATGCAACAATTGAATCATAGTGACCTTAGTGATATGCAACACTGTCCTTAACAATCTGAAGGCAGACAAAGAAAGAAGAACATAAAAGTTCACCGTTTTCCATCTGAACCGAAAATATTGATGAAAGGCACAAGTTACAAAGTGCAGCTTCTTTAGCTTTATGTGACCATTAAGGTTTATGGTACTTAAAAACTATGTGAGCAAAACACTGGCCCCGAAACAACATCAGCACAAGGACTGTCCATGCTGTCCAGCACAAACTCAAGAGTGAGTACCTGGAAATTTAAATAGGCGGCTCCATGCCCTCTTCCCGACTACTCGGGTATGACTGAAGTAGCGACTGCACTATAAGGTCCATACCGGCCAAATACATCTTTGCCCACCACAGCCGCACACACCCTGTGGCCAGGCTTATACTTTCTGACCAGCACACACATGGGCAAATTCAAGGCCTTCACCTCACCGAGGATACTCCAGTCTGGGAAAGCGCCACTGCCCTTAACCTTTTCCATAGTTAGGAAGATCCTACAACAGGGACAAAGAACAGAAAAAAAAACAATATCATCAGTGAGTAACTTAAAGTCAAGATTACTAGTAAAGCCTAAGAACTGACTGACTGCTTCCATCAGGTGTAGGGCTCCTCAATTAATCGAATTTTAATCACGATTACGATCTGGGCTTTCAACGATCATTAAAAATGACTGAGCCGATTATTAGCCCCTCCCTCGTGCTTTACTCTCGCGCTGCTCCGTGTGGCAAGTCGAGCGCACCTCTCTGCATTTTGAACACGTGTCACAGCAATTAAGAGGACCCGAGGGAAGCTCGGAAAGCTAAGCAGAAGTTATTTGGAGAGGAGAGTGACTGCCGTTGGCTGAAAAGAGAGGTAAAAAAACTTCAGTGGTGTGGAAACATTATGGGTTCGCGGAGTCAGACGTGGATCAAGTAGACGCAGTGTGTAAACTTTGCTACAGTGTCGAAGCTGCACCACAGAGCAACACTGCAAAGTTCACTAAACACAGATGTTTACATTTTTCATTTATTTTTTATATTACAAAAATTTGCACTGTTATCAGTATTTGCACACTATTTTTTGACAATCTTTGAAGTCATTATTCAATACATTCTTATTGTTAAATAAATATCATCAAATAATCGAGATCTCAATTTCAGTGAAAATAATCGTGATTATCATTTTTGCCATAATCGAGCAGCCCTAATCAGGTGGTTACAAAAACTGGCAGCAGCGTCACAGTGAGATCCTCATGAGGACCTTTCGTTTTTCATATTGGTCGTAGGGCTGAGAAACTACACACTCGACACACAGTGATGAGTTCAACACTGCTTCTTACGTGTAACTGTCCATGGGTGGAGCAGATGGGTCTTCCTCCACCACTTTCCAGAGGATAGAGAGGCCGCTGGGGTTTCTGATGAGGGCCAGATTTACTTCAAGTTTCTGAGGGATGCTATACGAGGCCGCTTCCATGTTCAGGACGGAGGGGAAGGGTCTAGAAGGAAGAGGAGGTAACGAGAGTCCGTTCTGAGGAAGGAAGGAAACTTAAGTGAGTGGGTGTGATGTACCTCAAAGAGTGGAGTGAACCAAATGTATTTTCAGCATGGGTGTATTACCTGCTCTGAGTCAGTGTGACTGGGACTCCTCGTGGCGACAGAAGAGACACATTCTGTTTTCACCTTTTGACGCTTGGGCTCTTCAAACTCTTCTTCACTGTTTTCTTTTTCTTGCTTAGCTGTGTACTCATGCTGGTTTTACACATGCCAAAATGGAAGATGTCAGTAATGATAAAAAAAAAATGAAAAGACATTTAAAAGAACTATTTTTTGCTTGCTCAAATAGCCTCCACACATTCATTTGTGGCAAAATAAATAAAATAAAAGAGAGCGCATAGTAAAGCATCCCACCTTAAGCTGAAAAGGCCGTTGAGGAGTCAGAACTGGAGGCAGCCTCTCCTCATTTGAATCAGTCGTGGCAGCTGTCATAATTTAATACAGATTATTTAAAATGAGAAGGAGGAGAAGGGAAGAAACAGGAGGAAGTAGGAAAAGGGGGATTTTTGTTATAAAAATTAAAAATGGTTGACTTTTCTTCATTACCTTCATGCGTCCTCTTTACTCCTCTTCTCGTGGTTTCCTGGGCAGAAAGAAAGCCACTAAATTAGAGGTCAAATTATTACGACAATAATAATAATAATTAATAATAACGAGTAAGTAAAGCTTATTTATATAACATGTTACAAAAATCAAAGTGATTTAAAATATAAAGTATTAATATTGACCTCAAATTAAAATTATGCAAAATTTAATTTATGTATCGTTATCATCATCATCATCATCATCATCAGTATTATTATTGTTATACACTACCAGTCAAAAGTTTGGACACACCTTCTCATTGTACAGCTTTTTTTTTTACTACTTCCTACATTGTAGATACAGACTAAAGACATTAAAATATATATAGCAAGATATCTGGAATTATTTAGCAAAGAAAAATGGATAAATAATAAGTTTTATATTTTAGATTCCTTTGATTTGTTGTCAGCGCTGCAAACCCTTGGCCTTCTCTCAATGAGCTTCCTGATGTAGTCACCTAAAATGGTTTTCACTTCACAGGTGTGTCAGGGTTCATTTGTGGAATTTCTTGCCTTCTTAATGGGGTTGTGCAGAAGTCAGGTTGGTACACAGCTGACTATTTCATAACTGTTAATATGTATATTAGGGCAAGAACCAATAGGCTAAGAAACGAGAAATGAGAGTTTGGGACCTGAAGCGGAGTTTGCACCCAGATTACTACGGTAGACGTACTGCTCCGACAATCCATCAAGTGGTGCAGCTTACCAAAGTTATACTGAAACATTTTTTGACCAATTTTTGAGCGCTGTGTACCACATAAAATCTGTTCGAGGTCAATTAAGCATAACCGGGAATTCATAAATAGGCATACTGTCGATGTTTGAGAAAATTATAGGATTTTAAGTGCGCCTTATAGTGCCGAAAATACCGTATATATTAAACACCTCTCAAAGGTCAGAAAGATAAAACCCCAACTATCTGACTGAAGAGCTCTCTTTAGAAAAAAAAGACCTCCAACAGATTCAGGATAAGGGAGGAGGCGGGTATCTGCTATCACCAGTTGGGAGGGAAAGAGATATATGCTGACAAAGATGCCAACATGCAGTCTACTTGAATTACATGCTCTGCGTCTCTATCAGTGTCTCTCGTCTTGTCACGAAAGATACCGTCTACTTTCACTCTTTGACCCTTTGGATTCTCAAACTGCATCAACTCCTCAACTCAGAGACCAAAAACAAAGATGGACAAATGAACTCAAGACAGAAAACAGACAAAGATTCAGCTGGTAGGTGATTTATTATCTTATGGAACCAGCATTACTTTTGTGTGCTTCTGTAGTTCTCATAACTGGCATATACAATCACTGGCTACTTCATTAGACAACTGAGTAATCAGCCAAACCCATAGCAGCAACTTATTCCATGACATGGTCAAGACAAACTGCTGATGTTCAAACTTGGCAAAAGGGATGCCAATAACCACTTCTTCCAACAAAAGGTATGCAGAAGAGCATCTCTAAATGCACAACAAGTTAAACCTTATAGCAGATGGGTTATAACATCAAAAGACCACAGGGGCTGCCACTCATATCAGCTAAGAACAGGAAAGTGAGGTTAAACCAATACTGGAAAATACAAAAGTGGGAAAAATGTTGTTTGCTCTGTATCGTGGCTTCTGCTCCAACATTCAGACAGCAGGTTCAAAATTTGACGTAAACAACGTGAAAACATGAACCCATGGATCCTACCTTCTATCAATAGTTTGGGCTGGTGGTGACGTACTAGTGTGGGACACACACTGGGCCACTTAGCACCCAGTGAGCATTGTTTAAATGACACAGCCTCTCTTACTATTCTTTCTTTGTTCATCCCTTTATAACCCCAGTATAACAATCTTCCGATGGCGGCTTCACCAAGATAACTCACCATGTCACCAACCTCAAACTAGTTTCTTAAACATCAAATCTCAATCCAGTAGAGCACCTTTGGGATGTGGTGGAACTGGAGATAGACGTGCAACTGACTAATCTGCAGCAACTGTGTGACTCATCATGTCAATATGGACCAAAATCTCGGAGCAATCTTTCCAGCACCTTGTCATGAAGAATGAAGCCAAAGCGAGACCAATCCAGTACTAACAAGGTTTACCTAGTAAAGGGTCATATGAGTGTACGTGCAGTTATGTAATATTGCTTATTTTTAAAGGCTCCTACCTCATACTCCAATGGGCTGTTAGGAGTTGGAGGACGCCGCTCCTCATTTAAATCTGCCATGGCAGCCATCAAAGCTTATGTAGATTATGTAAAATAACAAGTGACAGAAGGGATGGGAAATAGCAGGAAAAGGGATGTAGTTTATTCATATGCTGATTCATATTTCATTTCAAGGTATTATAACAGCTTATTGTATCTGCAGAGAAAGAACGTTAGCACAAGCAAAATAAGATACGCATTTTAGATTTGAGGTACACAAATATTTACATGTATGAAACCAAAATACTCTTGTTTTACAAAGTAAAGACATTTTATAAATGGGACATGATAATCTAAGAACTTGTTAGTAAAAATCATCTTAAAGGATCTGCATCATCGCCATGATAACAAAGACGCTAGCTGCCCAACTTGTGCCCAACTTATTAATCTATTTAAATATTTCCCTGAGACAGACTTGACTGGTTATTCTATCATTGGTGAAATAGAAGTATATCCCTTTCTTCTTTTGGGGTTCAAAATAAAAGCTTATAACTGGTAGCATTACCAGAATACATACAGAAATGAGTAAATCTCAATTTTCTCATGTGCACATATACTACACAGGTCATGCCCATCCATACAAATGCAAAACTATACACCTTAACACATAAAAACTCCTGCATGTGAATAAACTTACCTTTACTGTCAGCACGCATCTTCTTAAGTGTCTGTCTTGTGATTTCCTGGATAGAAAGAACCAATAAGCTTTGAATATGAACCCCAATGCAGATGTTTCACTGTGAAATTTTACCCTGAGACCTTTCAAGAAGCTGCTGACCCCAACAAAATTTTAAATCAATAAGTGATTTTAAACTATTTTTAAAAAACTGACTAAATAAACAATGGCATATTTACCATCATCTGAAAGAGCCCTCCGTTCTTGGTTGCATCTATTGAGAAATAAAATGGCATTGAATAAATATTAATTTCAGCAAGAAATACTCAGTGATATTAATGTGCTTGGTAGGTTCTTACTCTGTGAAACAGCTTCCATGTCTCTTTCTTCTGAATTTGTTCTGCGGATTAAATGAAATTGTAACAAAACTGATAAAATAAATCACAACCATAAAGTCACATCAGGGTCTTCATTTTTAAAGATTAATATATTAGAGCTGGTTCTACATACCTGACCGGAGTGGGCGCTGCATTCTGAAAGTTAAAATGGTAAAACTGATCATGTTGCGTGAGGATTTTTAAATTACTGCATGTACACAATGAATAGTGTTTCAATATTAAATTCCATAAAATTACTACTTGGGCATTTATCATTACACTATAAGCAATAAAGTGATTAATTGTACTGTGCATTTTGTCTTTGTTACCTTTTTTTGCAGCTTTGTCACATAGTCAATAGCAGCTTCTGCTCTTTTAGACAATATTTTAACTCGTGCCTGTGGGGGAAAAAAAAAAAGTGTGTTAGGGTTTGTTTGGATTTTTTTGTTTGTTTCTTCTTTTTTTATTTAAACACTACTTCGTCTTAGGCCCCAGTCACACAGGCCTAGAGACTGGCTGGAAACCACTGATTGCTATGAAATTAGAAAGAAAATAAAAGGTGGAATCCCCAGCCTCAGTCATGCAGACCAGTTAGTAAAATTGGCATCACATTGTTGGAGGTTACTTGCTGTTGCTAGGTGAAACTAATTGCAAAGAGGTATATGGTTCGGCACCAAAAACCTCCGTGATTGCTTCGATGGCTTAGTTTGGATGCAAGACACTGACTTATTTACAGCGCCAATGTTGAAACTTGTTCGATTTGGGTAAGAGAAGAAAGCAGACTGAGTCCAGGTAGGTGGCAAAAAATAGTGATCTTTATTTACACACTTGCGCAGAGTGTGGGAAGAAACTTGCAACAACAATCTTCCTCGAGCAGACCGCTCCCCATCCTTATATTACCCTGATGACGTCACACAGTTAGATCTTACTGGAAATGATAACAGTTCCCCACACTCAAAAAGTGTTCCTTATATAGACATCAGATGCTACTTTAGAGACAAACAAGTGTGTGATATGTTGTGCAGTTTTGTGAGACTGTGTGTCCAACAGAGAGCCTGTCCTGAGACGACCTCCCGTTCTAAATAAGTGTGTGAAAGAATGATACAGAACAACAATAGACTGATTAAAGTGATGATAATATGCATTACATATGCATACATTAATATTTGCTCAGATTAACATAGATATAATTCAGAGATTATTCTGTCAACAGATTCCACAATGATGAATGATTGATCAATGATAGTTCTGATCATAAACTGTCACCATAAGAATACAAAATAAAATATCTCTTGTCCACACCAACTACTCGCTAAGCAGTACCGAAACTGTAAGGAGTACTACAGCAACAGGAAATTAAGACAGCTCATCTTCAAAAGTTAGACTTTTTGAAAAGCATTGGTTTCAGAGATATTCAAAAATACAACTTTTACTTTAATGGCAGTGTTCACGCTTCTTCAAGTTTCACTCCTGCTCATTTTTTAGTTAGCAAGTGTTAGGAGACAGGCCGTCGTCTCACATTCAAACTACAGGCAACCATGGCAATCTGGTAGAGACCAGAGAAGGTTCTGTGGCACAGCACACTCTTTACAACCATTTTTACCAATTAACAGCAAGCAACCTGCCACAAATACTTGCTCAGTGATCGGGGAATAAACAATATTTTCCCCAGGTAACTGGAGTTGCAGACTCTCTAGACCTGCAAAAAAAAGGTGCGCACACAAATTCAGCTCAATTCCCTCTAATCAAGAAATAAACTAAGAAACAATATAAGAAAGCAGAGCTTAAGTATAGATGCCCAAAAGTTTTACCGCTTGCTCTAAAATTTAGGAACAAATGCAAAAAAAAAAAAAAAAAAAAAAAAAGAGAACATGACAGACCTAGAGACTGATTTTAAGATAGCTTGGTGACATTAAAACAGGGAAGCATGGAGAGAGACAAGAAGGAAGACTGGGAAAAAAGAAAACAACAATGGGCGGCGATGAATATGTCCACACATGAGATGGCATTAATTAAAAACTGGACAGATATGTAAACATATGCAGTACAGACCTCAAGTTTTTCAATGGACCTTTCAAAGTTCACTCCATGTTCAAGCTTTTGAATACTTTCTATTAATCCCTTGAGTTTAGTTTCAGTTGCACTGGGAACCTCCTGCTCCATCAGCTTTTGCACCTGTACGCAAAAACACATTTAAACTGCTGTGATCATTTTTCAAGTGAAAAAAATATATATTTTGTAGCCGTCTTGCACACACAGCATATTTATGATCTACAGATTTTCAAGGCTCCTTCAGGAAGGGGCTGTGAAGGTAATCTAAAAGCCATCACCTGAATGTCTTGGGGTAATTTACAAAAAGTCTTGTTTACATCATTGTTCAGGAGTAGAACATTTTCCCCTTAAGCGTTCCCATAATAGGGTACCCAAATTTTTAGACATACCATAATTAACAGGAATCCACACAGGATCAATTAAAAATGATTGTTTGTTAATGAACAAAAAATAAGTGTTTTGACTGTTTGTTTTTTATTTTTTTAAATTGTGTGCACACAACTGTATACAGATGTTTATCTAACAGAAACAAAGGGCAGAACTGCATGCAGTAGACTCAGATGTTAGTGCTATGCAGCAGATAAAATGGCATGTACAACCATGCACAAAAAAGCAACAGTCTGTTAGAGTGATTTTGTTAAAAGTTGTCATTGTTGTGCTTTAAATTTGTAAACCTTGTCTTGAACTGCATGATTAGATATTTTTCTGTTAAGCCTTAAATGTAGGAATTTGGGGCAAGCTTTTTAGCTAGTTTCCAACTGCAGGCACACTTGCATATAAGGTTCTGGTTTCCTTATCTGGTAAGGAATGTTCACTTCCTGCCCTTTGTGGGCTCACCTATGCTTGTATATGGTGGACCATTAAAGGGGTTAAGTCAGATATGGGTTGATGGGAGATGACCCTTTTATGACTTGAGATGTTGTTAAACGGTTGTAACCAGGAAGTCACATATACAAACACACATACACACGCACTCACATGCTCGCACATGCATGCACACACACACAGTGCCTTAGCTTTTATGACACACCATATGGGTTTTACAATGGGGTGTTTGTGCTTTCACTGAAAAAGAAAAAAGGCTGTGATAAGTCTCTGAGATAGCAAGGCCTGCGAGTGCAGAACTAACACAGTCACACAAACTCCAACATTGTTTCTTACCTCTGACTGGGAGAAGTCCATCTTCATGTTATCGGCTCCAGCAGAAGCTAGAGTCAGGGGTCGCCGCTTCATTCTTCATCCAGACGCACAAACAGAACATTAGTTAGTGATGTGTGTAACTCTGCATCAAGTAGCAAGAGTGTAACTCATAGGTTGTGCCTTGCAGAGAAAGATTGAAAGGTACTTGCATTAAAACAGTTTAAAATGTTGCCCATACCTTGCAACATTTAACATATTACATGTATATTACCCATTAGCCGTTTCCAATCATGATTATCATACAATGAAAACAAGGTAAGACATTAAGTTCAAGAATGAAAAGTATCTGAATATTGCCCTCTGCTCCTAAAATCCCTTTACTGCCTGAAGAAAAGGTTCATAGCGGAGGTGTCAAACATACAGCCTGTGGGCCAAAAGCAGCCCACCAAATCACTGGATAGCTTTGGAAAATGTTTACATTTCAAAGAAGGAGAGGTGTTTAACTGTATTTTGATCAATTTTAAAGTTTTCTTACTCCTTTGTAAGTATTAGCCTCTTATTTCTTTATTTTTTACAGTGTAAGCTTAAAGAGCCCTGATGCAGGTTTCTTCTGTTCATTAGTGCTGCAACGATTCGTTGACATAATCAATGATGTTGACTATAAAACGTTTTTTGACATATAATTTTATTGTCAGCACGTCTTAATACTAATACATCGTAAGAGAGTTTTTGTAAGTGCAGTATACTACAGGAAGCTATTGGGACAGTATCATCGACGTCCTCTGCCATGACTACACTTAATGCTAACGAAAAAGAACGCTGCACAAACGGCGAAATGGCAGAAAATGGAAACTAAGAATTGTTAAAAATCTGAAAGCATTTCACAGAAAACAAAAGCAAAGAAAAAACAAAGTTAAATGCAGACTGCTTTCCATCTTTGACAGCAACACTGCAGTGCACGAGCATTTGATATGCCGGCACCCTGGAGCTGTGACATCAACTCTGATTGGGTCAGTTTTCAGGGGTTACGGTTTTTTATCTAATGAGTGAAATGAGACAGTAAAACATTAAACAGGAGTAGCTACACTGTCTCCTAGGTCGTTTTCTCACATTAATATTATCGTCTATTGTGAATAGTAAACCTCTTCCACCTAATGTTAGGTTGTTAATCTGTGAGTTGGGCCATATCAGTAATTAATCATAAATGTAATCAGTTAAACAGTGTAATTGGCATTGAACACTACACTATCTGAGAAACTATCATAGACAACCAAATTTGTAAGTAGTAGCAGTCTTTTCTTATTCTGTTTTACTAGTATTAAGCACAGGCGTATAGATGAGTTTGTCCTGTACAGAGGCTCTTGCACCTGTCAAATGGCTGAAGACTAGGGATGGGTACCGGTATCGGTTCTGATATAAACGGTAGTGACCAGACCGAAAAACAGCGCACATTTCGGTGCTTTATTTCGGTGCTTTTTTTTCCCTGAGATGTCACACACTTTGAATTCTAGCCAATCATTTTACCTTTGCAAGCGTAGTAGGCGGGCCCAGGTACGTACGTTCTTTTAGAGCAGAGCTACAGATTAAAAATGCCCAAAGCGAAGCGGTCAGAAGTCTGGCTGTACTTCACAGCAAAAGATGCAAACTCAGCAGCCTCCAACAAGTGATTTAAGGTGACACTGTGCAAAGGAGGTAACTCCTCGAATCTGATGAAACACCCGGCGACGCATAGCGGGAGGTTTTTTAAGCCGAGAAATGCAGCATATTTTGCTGCAAGAGCTCACACCGAGCACATCTACTGCAGGTGTGGTGCCTGTTATCGGTCCCAGAGTTAGCAACATGAACCCAAAGAGGAGAGTCCTGGCCCCTAGCTCTGCCAGTGTAGCAGAAATGATGACAGATGATGATGGCAGCAGCAGCTGTTCTTCTCTGAGTGAGTCGCTTAATGTTGTTCGTGTGTAATTTACGTTGAGTACACTAACCACGTTATTACATTAATGCATGTAAGGTGAACTAGCAAACACCGTCGTAGTTACATGCGGCTGTCTTCTTGTTTGATGGCAGATACTCCCTTCACCCTGGCCACAAAGGCCAAAATGACCAAAGAAAAAGAGGGAAACAGCTAAACATGAGAGGTTTTTGGACAAAGTTTGTGGGGGGGGTTTTTTCCATTGTTTAAGCACTCTGCTTCCAGCCAAGAGTGATACCATATATGCCCCATAGCTGCAGAAAAGGCTAACATTGTTATCTTTTTGCAATAAAACAGCTAAACATGAGAGGTTTTTGGACAAAGTGTGTGTTCTCCATTCTTTAAGCACCGGTTCGGGCACCGTTTAAGCACCGGCACCGTTTCAAAAGTACCGGTTTGGTACTGGTATCGGATAAAACCTAAACGATACCCATCCCTACTGAAGACATGACAGAGAGCATCATCTCAAAGATTAGAGCAAGCGTCACTCCAGAGCACTTTTTTTTTAAAATTAAATACTAGTAGCACTTTAATATGTATTACCTGACATTTGATATTGAGTAATCCTTTAATATTTTTTGGGAACGCAGGCATCTGTTTAAAG